TCTCCAGCTTCAGTAAGTAGACATTACCTTTTAGGTGCCACGAGTGAAGTGAAGAATTCTTCGCCTGGTTCTCTGAGCTCACTAAATTGCTATTAATCACGCCTTTTGACGTACTTGGTTGCAAAATGCGGAATGGATCCTTTTTAAAGTGAACTCAATTAAGTCGTAACTGTTAATATGGACTTTTAGATGCACTGCCTTGAATGGACGTCACACGTATCAGTCCACGCAAATCTAAAAGTGCCTAATGAGCGATTGGAACGACCTTGGTAGCCAAAACGCGTTTCTGCAGGCGAATGGAATAAGGTTCTTGTTTTGGTAGTTGTTGTTGCTTTTTTAGTTTTTTTGGTTATTGTTTGTGTCTGTTGATATTAATAACATACAATATGCCCTCGGGCTTAATTTAGAAGAAGAAAGATCTTCGCCTGATCCAAAGAACTTTACAGGGAATAATAAATAAGTAGAAGGAAAAAAATATATGTTCTTAAAAACATAGTTAGAATTTTTGAAAAATTCTGTAAATGAGAAAGGAAAGATGAGGGCATTATCTTCAGCGTGATGCCCGAATATCGTCATATTCGGGCAGCAATAATTATGACAGAAATGTTTGATTATTATTTCCTATGTAATGTGTTTGGATGACGACATAATTTTAAAAAAGACAACAAAGTGTCTTTGTTGCTCACTTGCTTTAAGGCATTGTTGTTCTCAGAATTTCGAAACAGGATCTTTTCAGCAAGTGAGATGCTCGAATATAACAGGGAAGTGCTAGAATATATGATTATGATAGCTTATCAATATAACATATTTTGAAGACGAAAATATCACATGCTTCGTCATAATGAATAATTAGTTTTACTCGTTTGCTTCACTCGCTCGCAGAATTTACATTAAAAAAAAAAAAAAATCATTATCTTGAGCCCGCTGGTTATAGATGACGCGGTATTCATGAACTTTAACTCTTTCCCTCTTTCTGTTAATCTCCTACGTGTTATCATATTTGTTAATAGAAAAGGTTTTGGAAAATATCATAGTAATGTATTCTTTAAAAGATTGCTCTTAACATTCGTTTATTTCTGTGAATATTTCAGCAAATACTTCAATAGTTTTTACCCAACATTAGTGTAGTTCAGTTTTCCTATTTGTGTCACAGTGCAGGTGATCTTTAGCAAATTCATTTAATTTCGATCTTTTAAAACCTCACACTATGCATATTTTTTTTCTCACAACGACCTTTCCCAATGGCTTTTGACAGTTTACTTCACAATGTAATCCCATGACAAGATCTCAACTCAATGGAGCAGAGAATTATATAACAAAAGAAAATGTTGACAGCCAAGCTTTAGAAATTGGAACATAATTAAAAATGAATAATAGATTAGGAAGCGGATGTGATGACAATAGGTTTGTTAATCGCTTTGTAAGCGCTAAGGAATAATGGATGGGAAAAATGAAAAGAGAGTCGTGATCAATTGGAAGCTCCGCAGCGGAGATTAATTAAGTTCAGTTCAGTTCAGTTCAGTTTCAGTTTATTTTTATATTTCCCTTGTTGTATAATACATCATTAGATTTGGCATGTTACATTTTTTTGGTACTAATTTTTTAATGCGTTTATACAAACAAAAGAATAATAAATAAGACTAAGTTGTATAAAGGAAGAAATATGATGGAGCCTAAAGAGAAAACAATGCTTGTAGGGAATGTGAGAGAGAGAGAGAGAGAGAGAGAGAGAAAGAGAAAGAAGTGGGTGGGTTCCAATTTCAGCGAATATCATGAACTTGTGACTCTGTGCCTGTGATTAAGATGAACAGATCAAGAGGCATTCACCTAGGGTATATTGGAGGTCAAACCTATTCGATTCACAGTGAACTAGGTGACCGTTCGACTATCTAAATGTCTTTTTGTGCTTTTATGTATAAACCATACAAAGATGGGACGAATATAATTTAGATATGAATCTTAAAACATTACAGAGTACCTTGCTACCTCTGCAAAAACAAACCAACAAATCAACTCAGACCAAAGCATTCATGTGAAAATGCTTTATTGCCTTTGATTCTGTTAATTATGATGTATTGCTTAAAACACTTTCTATAATAGGATGCTCTGAGAATGCATTGGCATGGTTTAAATCTTACTTTTGATTCAAGGATCAATTGACAGAATAGGGGTAAATGAACTAATACAAGGTCAACTATCTCTGGGGTACCACAAGGCTCGGTTTTAGGGCCTCTGTTGGTTACAATCTATATTAATGATTTGTTTTCTAGTATCAAGTTAGAAAAAGTTGTCGTGTTTGCTGATGATGCAACTTTGTATGTTAGTGGTAGTAATCTAGAATCGGTTGAAAGTCAACTTAATTCTGCAATGAATAAAGTTTACACGTGGACATCTAAAAATAGATTGGTATTAAATGATTTAAAAAAAATGAAAGTGATGATTTCTTGTTCTCGACAACGATTGATTACCTTGCAGGATACAAAATATCTGTTACAATTAATGGTACTTTATTAGAATGTGTTTCAGAATATTAGTCTCTGGGAGTGACGATTGATGATACACTGATATTCAAATCTCATGTTGCTTCTATTGTAATAGTTATGAAACAAAAACTTGACTTAATTAGAAGAAATAAGTATATATTTAATGTTGATCAACTTAAGAGATAATATTGGGGTTTTGTTCCCCCCCATGAATTTTATTGTTCAACTGTCTGATCATCTAGATCTGAATCAAACTACAAAATATTAAACACGCTATACAAACGAGCAGCATATATCTAGCGTATATACACGGAAAACTCTATCGGGAACAGTTTTTCCGAATACTAGCCTGGCCTTCTCTGAACGAATTGTTTAAGAAGTCAATATTATGCATGGTGTATAAATGTGTAAGTGGGATAGCACCATCTCAGTTAACTAGTAAATTTGTCCTTAATGGTAATATTTCTACACGTGTAACACGAAGCAAGGAAGCACTATCATATTATTATTGCGTACCCCTCAATCTAAAACCTGATATTATCAGAGGACATTCGTAACTGTTGGTCTAAATGAATGGAGTTGTTTGTCTGATGAATGCCAATCTGCCCAGTCCTTAACCATATGTTTTTTTATGAAGGTGGAGGGGATGGGGAGGGGGGGGGGGGATTAACAGTGATATCAAATTAATGTTATGCTTGATTTTAATGTAATTTGTATTTTGTAAACAGGTGGTAAACAGGTACTGTAGCTTTACCTGAGTGCATGTGAAGTAAGCGTGAGTGTGACGATGATGTGTGTGTGGAAGTCTCTGTTTGTGCGTGTGTGTGTGCGTGTGTGTGTGTGTGTGTGTGTCCAGTGTTGTGTCCAGTGTTGTACGCGTGTAAATCTGTGTTTAATTCGCTTTAATGCTTTCATCGTAACAATTGCTTGGGATTCGAGGATAAGTACTCATGCAAAACCATGTGTTACTCGCTACTAGGCCGTTCCGGAATTTGTTATTTTTTTGATGAATTTGTTTACGGGTAATCACTCGTTTATACTCATGATAATGTTTAATTGTTATTTGCAGCGTACCGGACGCACCAACCCTGTTTTAATTTCGGTCACACTTTTTTTTATAGTTATGATGAAACTTCTGATCACATCCTAGCTAACAGTTAAAAAGCTAGAAATATTTCAAAGGACATACATGTTACTGTTAACAAGTGAGTATCAATTTTGATGACGACAAAAGCCTTATTTTGACTGAAGCTTAAAGATAAAGTTGAGTTTTGGTCATAAGGTTCTTAAGGTTCATAAGGTTCATCTTTATTGTCCATTTAACAATGGAAATTCATCGTGTTACATGGTATTGCGGTACACATATATTTAACATAATACACTCATACAAAAATCAAAGAATTTTTGAGTGGACAGTAAACAAAAATAAACAATTAACAATCAAAACAAAGATATAGTCATGCATCAAAAATAATATACATGTATATCAATAGGTGGAATGACTATAGGATTTTACAAGTATCGATAATGTATTGCATTATTATCATTGCTATATAGTCTTATTATTATTATGATTATTACTTTTATTATTAACAATGGAAATTCGTTGTGTTACATGGTATGTGATTGCATCGTGAAAATACGTTGTGAAATCGATCAGATAAGGGTGATCATCTAGCATATAAGTATTGGTGTATACTGCATGGTTCTGGAATCATCAGAATGATAAGAAATTTGACCCAGTCTTGGTAAATGTGCAAGCAATGTACTACACGAATATGTGGCATTAAAATCCGCCCCGATTTCAATGATGTTACATGCCATATTTAGAGTATTAGAGCACTTCAAGAGACATGCTTTTCAGGATACATTTTTATCTGATGTTCTTCCACTCTTGAATAATACAATGATAACGCTTACATATTTTTTACCTTTTCCCAGAACTCAACCTTCACTTTAAGTAGTCGTCGAATGTGCTTTGTTAATACATGTCAATTATTGTTTTGTGTAATCTTACATACGATTGTGTAAAGTAGGATCCTCTGAACAAGATGAGCATGAGATGGCCACAGTACGAAGTACCACACCAACCAATCTCCCGGGAACGGATGCATACATGGAACTGGAACTCTATGAACGAGTATCCGACGATGGAACCGCTTACCAAGCACTTGATCTGAAAGCGAGTCATTCAAAGAACCGTACCCATGATCGAAAGATTATCTTAAAAGGATCCGGTAGCTTTGTCTCAGATTCTGAAACAAAATCCTGGATTTAGCTCATGCCGCAATGATAATTATACACCTTTAGATCAGTCAGGAGCCTCATGACTTCTACAAGCCGATCGCCTGTCTGATTATCAAGATATCTATGATTGGAATTACAAACTTTAAAAACCGTTTGCTAAACGGTTTTCATAACACTACAATCTATTGAGGTAAACGAGTATGGTAAAACTGGTCACTCAAATATTTTTAATTTTTTGAGGCACTTCTTGATCATTTTGACGCACAATTTCTTTAGGGCTTCAATATTACACTATATCACAGACACTGATAACACGCAGAGTCGTGCATCTCAGATTTAACATTGTAAAAAGATGTCTTTAATGTTCCAAAGGGTCCTATTGGTAGGAAACATTTCTTGGCTCGAAATAAGGCTTCTGCTGATAGCCATATATGCCAGAAGGGCAATAACTTTTAGGAACATGTTACGAATAAGCGTTCGGCATGTTCTTCTGGCACCCAACAAACACGAAGTTTAAATTATTTCGAGATATATTCACGTGACTAAAACTAAAGGAACTGAATTGCCATAATTTCATTTCATATTATTTTATTTAGCAGCTAAGTTTCCATTGATACATATATATATATATATATACACACATGGCATTATTTGGTACATGTATTAGAATAACAGATCCATATAATTTGAAAATACATAACATCACAATGGTAAACCTTTAAAGGTTGAAAATAGCATATGCCACTTTCAAAGTGAACATGCACGTGCATTTGTAACATTCCAAGAACATATCGTACGAGATTTAACAACAATAAGAGGTGACGATATATACACACACACGATGCACAAATGTAGAACTGTCTAAAAATAGATTTGAAGTTTACACATTAAAGCACTAATAACGTGGATGTGAAAATTCAGCACATGCTGTATGTCCAGCTTTTTACAGTTGAAGTTATTTATATTGTCTAAAAATTTGCCATGCTAGATATAACCGTTGCTAGGAGTTGCTTAAGAAAATCATAGACATATATTTCAGAAATTTACAACAGAAGCTACACAGCTGCATACGATATATTTTTACTTTAAGTCAGTAAGAGACATTTAGCTTTATCCCTCTTGTTTTTGGTACAAATTATTACCGAATCCAGTCATGAAACATTTATGTACAGGTATCTTGGTCTAGTGGCTACGTCACCAGACGCACGTGTTTGAAAACAGTGAATTTAAGCAATCTGACGTAGAAAATGAACAAAAATGATTAATGAAGGCTCACAAAATATCACTGGTGGTTGGTGGAAAAACACTCTTGGAGAGGAGCTCAGTCAACCATATGTACAGAAGATAAAGACCGATTAAAGCAGGCTTGTTTGAGGGTCGACAAACGAGGCAAGTCCTGGGCCCTGCGTCATTAAACTTGTTATAAATAAGAACTGGTTATCAATAACTAATTACAAAAACTGTTATAAGCTTCTAAAATCGCGGCATTCGATTGGCTGAGAGCTAATTTATCACAGCATTTTAGCATTTATTATCGATGATAAGTGTTTAGAAAACAGGGTCCTGATGTATTCTGGACAAAGCTAATGAAAAGCCTTGTTTACGAATAGAAGGGTTTTGAACGCAACCACTCGACGTTCAGGCATGACAGGCAGCCAGTGAGGGTCGCATTGGAGAGTTTTGCAGTATGGGTCCGAATCGGTGCAGAGAATACAAGCCGCGGGCTGCTGAGATTTGTAGTCTCTGAAGTCGCTCGTGGCAGACTCAGCGTCCAGAAACCTTAGTATGTTTGGAAGGATAGCCTTTATGGCAGCAGACAGAGCGAAGTAACTCGAAGATGAAGACCAGTATCTCTGTCACTGATATGAAAGACATTCCTATGTAGAGACCCAATAATCCACCTAAACTTCCGAAAAGAGATTCGACCTTTTGATAGAGAAATAGAAGCAAAATGGAGAAAAATTGAAGTCATACATTTCAGATATCTCACATGGTTGGTCTCTAACTTTTTCATGAGACATAATTAATCTCTCTGTGTTGTACTATATTTATCGATGGATAGGTATGGTAAATATGGTTTTATAATAAAATATACTTTGAATAGTGCTTTATATAAATTTGTCTACGCACTTTACATTACTTTGTCGAAACAAACAACATTATCTGCCATAATTGAAGAAATTAAAGACTTATATTACCGACGTTTCTTCTGTAGCCTTGACGCAAAACAAATTTGTGTAGTATTTAAGTAGGTAAAGCGTCAACAAGATTGATTTGATATAAAACTGTTGACCGTTTTCTGAACTTTATTAAATCAATTTTTAAAATTCACACCTGTTGGTTATCAATGATATTGTTTTCATGATTGTTATCATACTTATGTTGTGTAAGAATAATTAATTTAACACATTTCAGTATACCCTAAATAGCTCTTACAAGGGAATACTGCTCTAAATTAAACCATTTGTTGACTATTGATTTTTAGAACGTAAGAAATAATAACATACCGTTATCAATGGAGTTTCCACGACATTCTCGAAGTTGAGTTCTTCATAAAACACAGAAAGGCGCACAAGATTGTTTCTAATAAAAATGGGGAAAAAAATCGGGGGTAAATCCATTTTTATTATGGCAATTATTAGCATTGATATTGATATTACTATTATTATTTTTGGTATCAATATTATTTTTAATATCAATATTATTTTTACTATCAATATTGTTTTTAATATCAATACAATTATATATATATCAACATTATTATCAATATTACTATTATTAGTATTGTACTTGTTGTTATAATTATCAAAAACGAACGCAAATAATTCCGAATCACAAACTTAAGTACCTTTCAATAGCTCTGACCATCACCTATTGAAATATATTTTTATTCGAACATTACAATAACTTATGACGTAATCTGAACAAGATTTCTATGGAATGTACGATAGGATTTTATTGTTAATGCATCTTATTCTTATCATTATTATTCTTAATCTTGTTGTTGTTGTTTTTGCTCTTCCACTACTACATAGTAAAATCTGCTTTAGTAACCACTTGTCTAAAAACACCATATTTGTGTTTCCCTTGAAAATGGTTTCTCATTGAAACATGTAAAAGGGAGTTGTACATATAAAGGCCACCTGCCTATAAAGACCACTTTTCTTGTCCTCCTTTATAGACAGGTTTCACTGTACTACTTCCACCACCGCTACTACTATTATGCTACTCCTGATGTTGCTGCTGCTACTACTACTACTACTACTACTACTACTACCTCTACTACTACTACCAATACTACTACTTCTACTACTTCTACTACCACTACTAATGCTACTAAAGATACTACTGATGCTGCTGCTACTACTACTACTACTTCTACTACTACTACTACTACTACTACTACTACTACTACTACTATTACTACTACTTCTACTTCTACCACCACCATCGATACTACTATTATACGACTCCTGATGTTGTAGCTACTATTCCTGCTGTTTTTGCTACTACTACTACTACTACTACTACTTCCACTACTACTACTACTACTACTACTACTACTACTACTGCTGCTACATTCACTACCACCATCCTCCTCATAAGCATCATGTCTTCATCTGTGGGGCTCGGTAGTTCAATAGGGGAATGAAGATCAGTTTAACTAGGAAGGGGAAAGGTGACCTATCCCAGAAATCTCAAAATTACACGGGGGGGGGGGGGGGGGGGGGGGGGGGGGGGAGGAGGTACAGAAATTAAAATTATGTTTATTGTTATTAATGCTATATTTATTATTACTACTATTAATATCATTGTTATTATTGTTATGATTGTTATAGTTATAATCCTTCTTCCTATTAATATTATCATAATTCTCATTGTTGTGTCTCTTCTTATTATTATTATTACTACTACCATAATTATCATCATCACCATCATCATCACTATCATGGCTTTAGTTACTAATTGGACTCAGTAGTTCAATAGCGGATCCAAGATCGCTTTAATTGGGAAGGGAAAGGGAATATACCAATAACACCATTTTCGACCTCAGAAATGTCAAACTTGTTCGGGAAGGTGGATAAAGGATCATAACTTGAACAGTTTTGTACAAATACCCCTGCCCCCCTAAGTCTATCACTACTGCAAATTACAATGGGTTACAGGCTAGCTCTAGGCACCAATCTAGCGAGCAAAGCATATTCATTAAGTGCATGTACCTGTTCAATTGTTGGTTTACTGCTATGGTTATTCAGACTTTAAGTTAAGAACAATAAAACAATAAAGACAAGGAAATTTTCCTACCTCGATTGCGCCACATTTGTAAGAATTCGAGCTGCTTTCTTGTTGATACTGGCCAGGCTGTCATACAAATGAGCCTTTTAAATATAATTAACGAAACAAAACAATTATTTCATACTAGGTATCTTATTCGTATGATTCAGACTAATTCTTTTGTTGGGTGTCAAAGAAAAATTTGATTAACACCAATTATACGCCCAAACCCTTATGACAGTCCATCGTTTTTTTTTAAAGACCTTATTGGATGAAGATACAACTTTATATCAATGGAAAGCTAAATAAACGTATAAAACAAATATAAAGGAATACGAAATACTTTGCTTTTCAGCATTGCACAAAAGCAAATTAAAAAAAATAAAAAAATCGCACACCTCCAAATAACGGGTCAACAGTGATCAAATCTACCGCAGTTACGGTGACGACATAACACGTGGACCATAATAGCTAAGGCGATCAGCCGTGCTTAATTAATGCAAAATCGTTGTGAACAAGCGTATACTCTACATATAACGATTTCATCAATTCGATAGCTAGATTTTGTGTCAAGAACTTCCAAATTTTAAAGTTTTAGCCCAGATTTCAAGTTTTCACAGAGCTGTTTCTCGTCTGACAGGCAGTAAAATAGCATATAACCGGCATTATTATAATCTATGACTTATAAGGTTTCCATTGAATATAATTATAACTCGTGTATTTAATTGTTCTCTTCCAACAGGGTCTTTGAAGATACATTGGTTGTGGCACCAGGGGTAGGGGAGGGGGCGGGTAGCTAGTCCCACGTTTTGTAGACCATTGTAAGTTTTAATTGTGTTTTCATGAGTCTTAGGGTGTCTTCCAATTGTGCACATGCCAGATTACAGACAGAAAATATCCAAACGCATGTAATCAACATACAATGAAATGAGCCGCTTCCTTCACAAAATTTAGCAAAGAAATTGAATCTTATATTTGCAAATAATTTGCTCACCAGTGGTTCACATGACTTGTATCGCCTCTCAAGCTAGCATAAAATTATTATGGAAAAAGGAGATATCGGAAAAGGCTCACAGCCGCTATGTGTATCCCAAAATACAAATATTGCTATGTAGGCTTAAATGTGTTAAACACGATCGCAAAGAATTTCGATAAATTTACAGAAGGGCAATTTTGAGTCCTTATTATTTCCCGTTTAAATGCATGTGAAAATGCAAGGATTATGCAATACGTCATTTTCTGTTAGAGTATTGCAAAAGTTGACATCAACTACGTGACTGGGAAATTTTGCTAATTAGATAATTATGTCGTTTTAACATCTATTATTCACCCAATCAGTGATAACCAACCTCGTATCTTGCGGTAGGCCATCTTGAAATTGCTATCCTCGGTTTGAACACAGTTTCACTGAAGAAAAAAAAGAGTCATGACATTTTACAATGTTCTAATGTATTAGAAGTTATTTTTCATCGTATTTTACCTATTAGGGTACTAGAAGAGCAATCCTATTCTGGGGACATTACTGGTATGAAATTCTTCCACTGTCGTGAAAAAAGAGAAGGCAAGCCCACAACTATTTTTCATCTTTATCGGGTCTCAACCTAGTCTGTAAAAGTAGTCGGCTCAGGGCTCGTGCGGTTCTCTTCTCGTAACATCTCGAATTTAGCAATTATAATTTAAATTAAAAATTGTTGTGGGTAAAAATTCACAATTTATTTTGCTTAAAAGATTTAGACAAAACTATTTTTTTATGCCGATGTTGATGCACGTACACTGTTGCTGATATAGTCGGAATATTTTGTTTTTACCCCAATTTAGGGAAATATTTTGACAATGATTTATTCATATTAGATCTAGATCTAGATCTAGTATACCTTCTCAGATTTTATTGAATATTAATTTGCCCGTGTTTGTTTTGCGTGACTGCTAAAGCATGTGTATGCTAATATGCTTATCAACTAGGGGACCTACGCCCTTAAGTCATAAATGACAGTAATGAGGATTAATGCCCCATAAAAGGGCACTAATAACGCACATCGAGGCGGTTTTGATCCTGGGGCCTCACAGTTACGAGGCCATTGCTATGCCACTGAACCATGACTGTACGCAGCAGGGCTAAGCTAGGGGACAGATCCCACAAATAAAAAAAAATAAAAAATGCAATAAATTATTAATAATTCATTACATTTTACCCCGGTCCCCAACAGAAAAAAATGTTCTGTGTGCCCATGCCTTGAACCATAATTCCAACTTTATGAGCAACAGTGTAGTTTCAGGCAACACGAATCTCCAAATGAAATTCAAACCACGTGAAACATGTTGATACGTAAACTCACCTACAAGCGTTTGAACAGTCACAATTAAGTTTGTTTTTCAGAAAGTCTTTAAAGACGCTGTTCCTGCAATTTCCTACGGAAATACGGAAAAGAAGTTGTTAGGAAACAAAATGAAAATGATTTTGTAATTTTGTTAAACCGTTGACTATTATTATCGTTATTATCATTATTACTATTATTATTAATATTATTATTATTTTTCTCATTATTATCATAAATATCATTATTATCATAATTATCATTATTATCGTTATTATCATAATTATCGTTATTATCATAATTATCATTATTATCAATACTATTATTTTTATCATTGGTATCATTATTATCATTGGTATCATTATTATTATCATTATAATTATTATTAGTGGTAGTAGCAGTATTGTTATTCCTAATTTAACATCATCATTATTATTGCTAATATTATTTGACAAAACAGGTCTGGATCTGGAAGGCTTCGTTTGTGTCCATTTGTTTTTAGATTTATCAACTTCTTTTTAAAGCTTCCATTTCAGTGGATTTGATTTTCCTAAAAACTTTCCGTAACGATACACAATTTAATAATTAAATATGTAGTTAATAAACTGAGGAAATCCAATAGTTGAAATTTATCCGATTTCATGTTTGAATTTTCATTTTCATTTGGATAATGAATTATATGAAAGTATTTTATAAAATGTACGAAGAACAGAAATGTCACAGGGGTTCATTATTTTTTTATTTTGAAGTACTACTGTTTTTAACATGGTATGATTAATATTTTCTTCAAATTCTACATAAATTATTCATTCTGGATAAAGAATAAAAAACATAAGAAATATTCTCTAAATCTAAACGTGCTTGCAAAGTCAAGTGTATTTGTTTGTTTTACCTTGTTCTCTGTTAATGACCTCACACATGGTTCCATCGATGAGAACGTCAGTGATGCATGAACACGTCTCGTTCAGGGTTTCCTGAAGGCAAAGTTTTAAACATGAACGCTGGGAGAAGTCGTATTTTTCCGGAGCATAGAATGAATCATGTTTTCTTATACAATTGCCGTAGGGCTCAGGGAGTCGAGAAATGGAGGTCTGTCGGAAAGAAAGAAAGAAAGGGAGATGAATAACAATAACAATACAAATATTATTATGACTTCTGCTAGTACTTCTGCTACTACAACTGCCACTACAACTACCACCACCACCACCACTACCACCAGTCCACCACCACCACCACCACCACTACTACTTGTACTATGCCAAAAGATAATGGTAGTATTTATTTAGTATTCTTTCATATTCATCTCTATGCTAAATGTATATACATAAATAATTTCGATTAAATATTCGAAAGCAAAAATAAAAACCAATCAAGCAAACAAAAAAACAAACATATATACATCATTGAACTCTTAAAATAAGGAGTGGAGTGTGTGGAGGTTCGAGTCCCGACGCTGCACTAATGTCCTTTGGCAAGACATTGATCTACATTTGCCACACTCCACCCAGGTGATGTAAATGGGTACCTGGTAGGAATTTATTCCTTGAAACGCAGAGCGCGTAACAGCTGCACTGCTAAAGCCAGGGTAATTATGCTGCATTATTGTAGAGCGCTTAGAGACTTCTGACAAAGTAAGTGTTAGGCGCTATATAAGCACTGTAATTATTATATTAGGATGGGTGCTGATGCGTGTGTGGGCGTGGATATGTGGGAGTGTGTGTGTGTATGATTGGAAGTGGTTGCGCAGTTTTAAGAGAGGGCGTAGATATAAGAATAAATTAAGATAAATAAAGATTCATGAAAACGGGAATTCAATGGTACTGCTTGTTAAACTAACATCACTTCTAGACGAACGGGTTGCTCAAAAGTGCCGAGCCGTTGCCTATCAAATGAATCATACAATTTCTTTTTTGTGACCTTTTCTGTTTCGAACCAAGATGAAAACGGTTTTAATTTGAGAAATTTGTCAACTGCAATTTTGTATGTTTTTTGTGTCTATTTATCTTTTCAAAAATTTATTTTATTTTGGGGTTTCTTGGGGCAGCAAGATGCGATAAAATCAATATAAGATAATATTATACAGATAAGATAATATAAGATTAGAGGTGGTAAGATAAGGTTTTTAAGATAACATATAGGCCTACCTGTATGCACTCAAAGAGACTACGAACTTTCAGCCTAAATCCGTTATCTTATAATTATAATTACTAATCTCGTTGTAAAGCTATATTCTGCAGATCAAATTTTTATACAGATTTAAAAGTTCATTGCAATTTTTGGTATAATTCACAATGGTTGAATTACATTTTGGAAGGTTTTGACAGATATATTTTCCTACGAGGGATTGCTCTAAAAGTAATACCTTTGTGAGTCCGATGGAGGTCGCAAAGCCAGGTGCTGCCTCGATGCCATCGTCCTCGGGGAACGCGTAGATGCGGGGGTCTTTGATAGCGACTTTGACCCCTGAATTGGGGCTGAGAATACCGATGTACTCGGGCTGCTCCACCATCAATGTCAGTTGAAGGCCTGGCTCATAGGAAGAAGGAGAAGAAGGAGGAGAAGAAGAAGATAAAAACGTCCATATTAAATGTACTATGTCCTATTTGCTAGCCAAAAAATGAAATATTAAATTCCAACGGCATTTGAAAGATGATGACGATGATGAACAGCATTTGTATGGCGCCATATTTCAAAGGCGCGAGCTCCTCCAATAAAATTCAATACTAATTTAGAACTTCCCTCAAAACGAAAGGGTTTGAAAATGGCTTTTAGTGGGAAAATAACGACCATCTGATTTTCAGATCCTTTTACTGAATGTTCGTACGTTTTAAGCTGCGCAAAGATTTAATCAGTTTAATTTTCGCCATTACAATTAGTGAGTTATTGATGAAGACAAATGCTTATAAAACCTGTTGAGCTCATTTTATGTGTGTTATTACCAAAGAAAACAAATGTCAGTCAGTCACTCAATAGTGTCCGACAGTGAAGTCTAGAAGGTTAACAGGTTACCTTGCATAATTTGAATACTACGACACTGCTAATGTTTTTACTTTACAGATAGCTGTACATGGCGTATTCATAATTCCTGCATAGTTCTATACAGAATTTAATGTTGGTTGCAAAAGGGAGTATCTTACTAGCGGTGTTCTATTAATTGCTTCCTAAGATGGGGTGCGAGGTTGACAAACTCTCTGGATAAACATAACGGAGGAATTCAGCAAGGTAGCCTAATAGAAAGATTATCTTTCTTTTGAATGTTAAACCTTTGCAAATACCATGTTATACAGTTTATTAGGGCTGCACTATTTAACAAGAGGCTGATGAAACATACTAGCGAGAAAGACTGTGATAATTTATGTTAACCCGATATACAGAGTACAGCACCTTCTATATTGGGGTCAAAGTTACGAGATCCTCCAGCAACATATGCGAGTGAGCAAAGCGACCGATATTTAGAAGGAAAACAAAGCTGTATACCCTCAACATTCTTTAACATGCACTCTTCACTCTGAATTGGGGTGCACAATCCTTGTGGATCACAATTTTTCTTCCTTTCCTCCCTTTTCTATATCTTTTCCCCTTTCTCTTTTATTCCCCCCCCCCTTGCTCTTTCTTTTCGTTTGTCTTTCTTGCGCCTCCTCCTTGTTCCGTGTAATGCGCCCCTTGAAATCCCTTCTGCACCCCCAGTGGATACGCCTCTGAACTAGATGAAAGTTTGCCTACTAAATTCTAAGGTTGGTAGAAGCTTAGACTACAATTTACTTTTCTTATTATCATTCTACATGCTTATATACCTGTAAGGAGGTCGTTGGTGGTGGGCGTTAGAACCGTGACCTTCACCCCGTTCCCACCCCGCTTATAGGTAAGCAAGGTTTAGTTTTTATGTGTGTTTAAGTTGTTATATTTGATAATATTGCTATTATGTTTTGTTCATATCCTGGTTTAAACGAATTTGTATCATTATAAGGCTTAAAAATATGTTCAAAGAACATGATATTTGTTAACAGAAAGGTGTAATTTAAGGCGATATTGTTGTTATGTAATGCTCAGAGGGTGTGACTTCTCAATGTACAAGTAGATTACACGTAGAGGAAATGGATGCGTAGGCTATGCCTGCACGGGTACCAACTCTACTCCTCAGGCTGCCATTGTCATCTGTATTGTCCGAGGCGAGGTCTACCCCCACTCATTCCGGCTACCCGTCCCAATCTACCCCCCTACATACCACTGAGCTACATTATCTTATTATCTTATCTTTACCATACTGAGATCCTGTTCTTGATGTCGTCGTGCGCTTCCCCCTCTTCAATTTATGTGCGTTGTTAAACACGAAACAATTCCCATACTCAGCGTTCTGGATGACGGTGAAATTTCTACGGGAAATTAAAAAATAATAAAAATTGAAAGTATCAATAACAAGGTAATATATAACAACCCTATTACACATGTGCATAATTCATTTAATTAATTTGAAAATCCCATTAAGTATTTATGAACAAACAGATGACTATGTGAAGTTTAAATATTTGCCAAGGTTTCTGGTCATATTGATTGAAACATTGCCGAATTAATGTAAAGCCGGATGAATTAATCTGAAATTGAATTCTGATAAGATCGACGTTCCCTTATTTGAATTGAGCATTCAGTTTAATTATTGATTACACCACTCAGTTTGATCAAACTGTGCCTTCAAATCGAATACAATCGTATTTTAAGGGCACACGAATGTATGAGAGTCTCCGATTGTAAATTCGAATAGTCAAATGATTAGGAAAAGGGCAATTTCTGGATTTCAGCCGATTTTTTATGCAATCTTTGGCTCCTCTTCGCTCTCCAAATATGTTTTAAAGTATAAATATTCCTTTTGTTCACTGCACTACCTCCCTATCTTTCTTTTTTCTTTCTTTTATTTCCTTTCCTTTTCTTTCTTTCTTTCCTGTTTCTTGTTCAGTGTGGGTTGGTCCCATCCCGCCATGCCCCCTCCGACTTCAACACTAGGGGCATTCACACCTACAGAAAAAAGTGAGATTTAAAATTTTTGCTTTGCAATCCAAGAGAGCCCAAAAGAAGGCACACGGAAGATCTTCGAAGAGTTCTTTGACAGCGCGACCACTGTGTGAACAGAATGATTTCGTAAAAATCTTCGCGATTCGTTTCGCGATTCAATTCGCAGTAACTATTGCGATTTTACAGAATAATCGCGATAGTTTGCCGGGCGCTGTGTGTGTGAATGGTATTGATAATCAAAAGTCGCTTGATGTAATCCCAGGATTCCAAGCGCGCGTGCTAGTGCATCGTCGAGTTTCGCGCATGCGCAGTTTGGACGTTCTTGCCGTCTAGTGAGAATTCTTCCTATGTGTAAATGGTCGCCCCCCCCCAAAAAAAAAAATTCATCTTTGCATCGCGATCTAATTCACACTAAAATGACACGTGTGAACGGTTGCACACACAAAATAAAATCGATCTTTCAATAGCGATCCAAAATAGCAAAGTAGCTACTTACTCATAGCTGCATGCCTCTGTATCGAAGGAGCATTGTAGAATAAAATCTTTGGCCTTGTGTCCAAGCGTACGCAACTCCTCTTTTGTCGGTTTGACAAAATTCTTAAAATTATTATAGTCGCTCCCCTTCGAAAGATTGTACAATGCCTCCCAGTCGTTCGGGTCTTCGATGTCCTCGATGCCGGAGTAATCGTATTCGTCGCCTTGTTCGAAATCGTACAAGAATAGAATATAATTCTTGGTTATCATCCATTTTGTTTGAATTAATTTTCTATATTCATATTCATATATATGCCGAATTGAAACAAAAATCTACCAAGAATTCTTACCTTCTTCTTTTATTGAGTAAAGATTGGATATAACATCACGGAAATTCTGAAACACTGTCTGTTAATCTTCGCTAAAAAAGAAAGTTTCAATCATTTAGGAATCGTATAGAAAAAAGCACTGTATGATGTCCGCGCCCCGGGGTCTACGCTCGCACAAAGACAATTTTAACACGTAAACCAATGGGGATCGCAGCATGAGGGCATTTTTACAAAGACTATTGACCGGTAGGCGGGCATGGCCAAAATCACGACTCCAATTTCGACCAATCAGATGGCTAGATTTCTAAAGAGAGGTATACACCATGCACTATTTTAAGCCACTAGTGAAATTATGGATTCCTCGGCGACAGAATTAGCATTCCTGCCACCTCGATCCATAATTTCAACTAGCCTCTCAGTGCATGGTATATCTGGTTATATTTGGTCGACGACGAATAGTCAACCTGTTCGAAACGTCGAGCCACTCCCGCCACTCATCCTCTCCAAGCGCTATAGTTCTCTTTAGAACTATATGCCAAGAAAGATTACCGAGAGTCCTTTTCAGGACTCCTTAATCCTCTCTCTCTCTCTCACACATGGTGCACCCACAAGCCTACTGTATATCTACATCACCATGCAAGCCGACACTTACAAGCAGCATCCAAATTCATTGTTATTGTCATTTTCAAGAAGGATTCGGTAAGAATACGGCTTAAAAGATTCATAAGATACGATATCGGATGGGCCTGTCATTTTTTAAACTACATCTGGATCATGTAATGTAAAAAATTAGGATCAATAGTATTCAATAGTATGTTCACACAATCAATCGTAACTTTACAATAAATAGTAACTTCACCTTTTGATAGCTGATTTTAAAAAATATATGTTACTGATAAACACAGTTGGTGGTAAGATACAATTAATTGCAGCAACATATAGATTTGCTTATGATTGTAACGAAAAAAAAACGAAAGAGAAATATAAATACTATAAGAAGACTCAGCATTGAGTGCACGACGGCCCCGATACGGAAGAGAAGTGGTATCTTCTTCAGCTGTTTTTCCATCTGTTGTTGTTTCTTCTCCTGATGACGAGTCTGAGAAGAACCAACTATAGTCGGAATCTTCCAGTCCAATCCCGTCAACTTTGTGATTTCGATCTAAAGCTGCCAGTGTCTCGAAACGGGTACCTGCTCGAGAATTATATTATAACAAAAGTAAGGTGGATGAAATCATTGCCTCGGTCGTCTTTTGACCAAATTGAGATGTTTGCCTATAACTCAGGTCTCTTTATGATAGCCACCTATTATTCAAGGTCTTAACTCAATTTACAGTCCTAAACCATGTCTTTTGGAAAAAATAGTAACTGCCTTAATCAGGTGAAACAAAAAGACAGAATTAGTCAATGTTTTTTAAATTCATTTGACAAAATGCTAATCGAATCAAGTGTGTAATTGAGTCGGTGTTGACATACTTTGATTCGATTTGATTTGAATTTATTTGAATATTTCACAAATAAATTTGAACAAGTAATTATACAAAATTACACAAGAAGTTGTATGTTGAAAAGGAGCATTTGTGGAAAATATTATTTTCAGACTAGTTTTCAACGAGACCGAGTTTTATAACGAGCACAATAAGGTGTTAGGAAATCAGAAGTATGATGAAATTAACGAAAAGGGGGCAGATGATGGTTTATTGAAAACAGACCAGCTGCTCACAAAGTCAAGGTAAAATCGACAAATGAAAAAAAAGTAAGTCTGTTACACCAATAGCAAAAACATATCATTATCAACAACCAACTTTTGTACACATAAGCAATTAAGAAAACAACACAATCTTCTGTCATGTTTCAAGGTTTTTCAAACCAACTGGAGATAATTACCCTTCAACATCGATCGTCGCAGCATGTTCAGATTACAGATGGTGACGGCGGGGAATTCGAGCCTCGATTTGGTGATGAGTGAGATTTTGGTCGTGGTCGGTCGAGCGATGTAGGACTGGACGAGCTTCGAACCCTGAAAGAGGAAGACACCCGCAAAGATCAAGGTGACCACGCACCAAAACAGACGTGATTGCCACGGGCGGGACGCGTTCAGAACTCGAGGGATTCCGTGCGTGGTCGCGTTGTCGACGAACTCGTTGACGATCTTCCGTGTGCCTTCTTTTGGGCTCTCGTCGTAGTCTGGTCTGCCATACGCCTTCTCCGAGTAGTCAGCCATTTTCTCTGGGCTCGTCTTTGTATCTCGTGGTAGGTCGCCCATGTCGATTTTCTCTTGCCCGAATTTAAATCTACGAGATAAACAAAAAGAAAAATCATTGACGAAATAACCAATGATTTGCAAATTATTCACACTCCTAGTTTTATTTTTGGCTTCCTTCTTGTCTATGTCATGCATCATTTGTGTATTGGGTCAATTCGAAATTCTATTGTAACTTTTGTTCACACCCTCTTTTGAGAGGCAGCTTGATGAACCTCACTAAAGAGATTATGAAGGGCCCGGTTGGCCGTAGACAACACCCCCCCCCCCCCCCCGCTGAGAATAACTCAAAAGAATAATTGGGGACACTGATATTTATAGTTATCTTTGAAGGGATATGGGGTCCATTATTTGTTCCAGGAGGCATGTATTGACCCCCTGCTGTAGTTATCCCCTGCTAAACAAATTTTTATTTGCCTTTGCTGTCTATTCTGTCCCCTTCCACATCGAAAATCCATCTGAATCTTGGCCCTCTTTCATAAAACTTGTTATCAATAACGAGTTGCGATAGCTGATTGAAATCGTGGCATTTGATTGGCTGAGAGCAAATTTGTCATAGAAAGTAAGCAATTGTTACTGATACCAAGTATTCTAAACAGGGCTCTGAATCGTTTGCAGGACATGAGGTGAAAATTGAATGTTAGGTCCTCATTTCAAATGAGAAGAGATACAATATCCCACCGCTGCCACCATATAATGTGGGGTTGTTTAAGCTGTATGATTATAGTATTGAAATGATGACACATAGAGATTGATCAGAGTTAGGTTTCAATCCAGCCAGCCTGGTTATGTTGCAGGGTATCACAGAGAACCACACCACAGACCAGCATCTGTATGTGCGTGTGTGTGCGTGTGTTTGTGTGTGTCTAACATGTAACATGAAGTCAATGTAAAAGATTACATATTACAAGGAGTGCGATTAAAAAAAAGAAACTTCTATTGACATGTACGTTAATTATACTAATCCTAGACATCCCAGGGTCAATAATGCTTCATAAGAATGAGGGAGGGGGGGGGGGGGTGGGGGGGGGGGGGACTGCGAAATAAGAAAACTAAATAAATTCTGCGAGGCCGTCACGATCATGGTTAAGTCATAAATGCCTTTTCCAACAATAGAGAAGACTCAGAAATACAGAGAGAGAAATATATAACGCATCATTTGCGATAATATACACGACCGCGTACTCACTATGGAAACGTGACCGATGAAAGACAAACAGAGGGACTTTCAGACAATTAATAAAGAGAGCCACTGACTGATTTATTCAAACAAATCACATGATTGCCGCCATCCCAGCCCTGCAATCATAAGTATTATTACCCCGGCTAATTAGCCGAGCTTCCATGATAAAGCACTCGAGCATTCGAAGAGATTCAGCCACCTCGATCCATATACTAATATGAGGAAATTGATAACGCTTTCTCTAAAGTCAGTCCTCTTCTTGCCAGTTGGAGAGTGCCTTTTTACAAACCGTGTTATGTTTGTTCATGGTGGTATTTTGATTGGCAGTGAAATTCAAACAAAATTTCCTGCATACATAGGAAAGATGCAAATACACTCTTAACTATCAATTTAAAAAAAAAAAATCTCTTTTCATGACATGATCATGAAAATATGGTTTATTCTCCTTGATAGATGAAATTGATATCTTTTTCAGAACTTCTTTGATCAATCTAAAGAGAAATAGGGATTTATCAATGAATCATCCTCTTAAGATAATAAACTCTATGTAGTCAGGAACATAATGATATAATAAAACAATCATGTCATAGAAATGGGTAAGAATATATTGTTCCAACTCGATAGGTAACAGAGTAGATATGTTACACTCATCCCTGGGTTTATCGGGAGGGGCTCAACCGACCTTGACCGCCCATTTAAACCCAACTGGCAAACCTTATGTAAACAAAAAACAAAATCAACACAACAACAACAAGGTCCCTTAATTGTGAATGTTTTTTCCCCTACAGAATCTCGCTCTCTTTTTGTATTAACCCAAGAATCCACCCCTTACCCGAAAGCCGTGGAACCCCCCCCCCCCCCCCCCCCCTGAATATCGAAGGAGCATCAAAATTATTATTGCAATGTGTAGTTTAGTCATTTTGAATGAGTATATTTTGTACTTTCAAAATATTATTGTATGGCGCACAATACGAATGTTGTATAATGTAATGACTATACATATAATGAACAATGACTATGACGTGCCCCCGGCAATTGCGTATGTGCCTCATTAGAAATGTGAACCAGGGATAATCCTACAGTAAAGCAATCATTAAGCTTTTACTTTATCATAATCATTATCATATTAGTCGTAATTTATCATGAACTTGAAAGTTAGTAATTGTTAGGGTGTTTGTTAGTTTTGTTGTTGTTGTTGTTGCTGTTGTTGTTTTTTCGGGGGGGGGGGGCGGGGGTTGTGCCTCACCCCCTGAAAGACCCAGCGATGCTATTGATGCTGCAGCGGGAGGGTGAGGGGTATCAGCGAATTTGAGAGTGAAAAGTAAACCCGAAGATATAATTATAAAGAAGGAGCGTGACTTTGACATCGGTTGAAGGTCTGTCCCCAATTGTTATGGACATTTTCGATTAGGTTTACGCAGTTTCACATCCGTAATTACAAAACATTAATAAAACCATTCCATCGTGACTGCTAGTGGATGAAGGACTCACACAATAAGCAGAATAACCACTTTCAGACCATTTCCTCCTGACCTTGAATCACGACCTTACAACCAAGAGCGTCAACTTTAAACCGTAATTAATTACATGATTTCACTAATCATAGTTCGGTGGCTGATATCCTAATATTTATGAACGATTGTGACTTTCAAGCACTATTTCCATTTTAAAGATCTAATCAGCTACTATTACATCCTCTGCTGTAAGCGTATTTAGCATTACGCCTTTTCGTTGAAGCTGGTTGACTGATGACACGATCATTTAATGGCTATTGCCTATATTGAGAAAGCTCTTATTGTGTGGATTGGTATCGTTTAAGGGAAATTACCGTTAAGTAGCTTGATGGAGAGTGTAATGTAAATTAATGGATTGCCCCAGGAATAAGGATATGAAGGCTAATTGCTGTTTACTCGTTGATGGGCTAAGTGTGTGCATGTGCGTGCGTGTGTATGTGAGAGAGGGCGTGGGTGAGTTTGGGTAAGTGTGGGTGTGTGGGAGGAGATAATGCGTGCTGAAAGGGAGGAGGAATATAATATACAGCTTTCATGTGGTCTCAACTTTCTTGAAGTGTAGAATATGGAGTTCTTATACATGTAATCTTAAAAGCATTTAAAGTGATTTGTCATGCCACACAAAGAATAATTATCCCAGTACCATTTTAGTTGATGTGAACACACATATGAATGATATGGGTTGGATATCCAAATAACACCCTAATGCCGTGACAGAATAAATTCTACTTAAAGGTACATGTACTATGTCCCATTTGCAGTCCAAAAAATGAAAATATTACATTTCAACGACATTTGAAAGATAATACTAATTAGAACTTCCCTAAAAATGAATGAACTTGAAAATGTCTTCTTGTGGGGAAATAGCGACCGTTAGCTGTCGTATCGAACTTAGGGATTGCAGTCCTTTTATTAAAGAGTCTGATTTTCAGACCCTTGTACCGAAAGATTCAATCAATTTAATCGTGGCTATTACAAGAAGTGTGTTATTGATTTTGACAGATGATCATGTACCATTTACCATGTTATGTATGTTATTACCAAATGTAAAAAAAGAAGTCCGTCAGTCACTCAATAGTGTCTGACAGTGAAGTCTGGAAAGTAAACGGGTTTCCTTGCATCATTTTCATAATTCCTGCAAAGTTTCATTCGATGTTGGCTTCAAAAGGGATACACTACCTTTAAACAAGTGCTGTCGACCTAACGGCATTATAGTGGCAATGATACATGCTTATAGCCCTTTTTTTTTTCTTTTTTTTTTTACTTTTAATGTGCAAATGGGTTCTGAAATTATTAAATGTCTACCAAATCATGAGCGATGCTTACTATTCTGTTTAGAATTCAGTACACTCTGTTCCAAAATCACATATATTGTGTATATTTGTCTCAATTTGATGTTAGAGGCAGCCAGAGCTTAAGGGTGTGCAATCTGGCCTGTGCCCATGCAAAAGAACATTAATTTCCGTTTTCCTCCTAGTGCCTTCTCTCTTGGACAACTACTAAAAGCATATTATGGATTGCATACGATTACAGGTCCTCTAACAAGAAATGAGCTTCCTTACTCAAACATTATGAAGAAAAAATGAAGACATTTTGGGTCTTAAAACAAACGTGAAAGTTGCCCGGCACTACACTACAGTGACACTACCGATTCACCTAATTACGTAGAGTGATTACTAATTTTGAAAATAAAAAAAACTTACTTGTTTTGGTCCGATTCCGTTTATTCCTTTCTTCTACAATGCATGTTAGTTGAGACTGGATTTTCTTCAATATAAATGTTCTTGTGCAGCCTCGTAAAGAGAAACATAATCCGATACCCTCATCTATTCACGGCCAATACACTAAATCTAATGTCAAGTTTAGTCATTCAATAGCCTTTAATAAACTTAGCAAGGTACCAAAAATACTGCACGTAACAACTTACAACAATTACAATGAAATCACTTGACAAAAGAGTATTCTGACTTAAGTGGAAAGTTTAGGCGCTTGCAATATAATGTGATTATTGAACAGTCATTTAATTAAAACATTTAGGAAGAGATCATGGCAAGAAGCGATTAAATCAAAGACACATGACGTTTGTCATAAAATCATGACCGTCATTCATCACATTTTTAGAGAGTAATTTACAGATGTGGTACATATGTTTTTTGATTTTGATTCTCTTCATCATTATGAAAGTAATTTATGTGTTAAAATGTACAATGCACCTCTTTTGCTTGCTCTTCCACGCTTAGAATTTTTTAACAGTTTGTAGCTGACAATATATTGTTCGTTATTTATGATATGAACATTGTGGCCGATTAGCCTTGTTCTGAATAAGTTATCCATTGAAATATACAACTACTCCTATTTATACTACTACTAAAATTACTACTACTACTACTATTACTACTACTACTACTACTACTGCCACTACTACTTCTATTAAGGAAGATAAGAACCATATAGTATATTTATTCACGTCCTACGTCTATAAAGCTTGAATAATCTATTTTTATAAACAACTCCATCTCCATCAAAAGTCATTTCAGGTATCTTTTATTCTTGAGAGTAAAAAGTACCCTAATAGAAATGCTACATAAGTAATGAATAAAATGACAGTGTTGAATAAAAACCATATGGTAAACGTTCTATGTTTGGAATGTTGTTGGTATTTATAATTACTCTATACTAAAGTGTTACTTGCAGTAATGCCCAGCGCAAACTACACGATCCTCCTTCGGTCCGATTTTCGAAATTTTTAAATTATATTACATAATTATGGAAATGTAAACAAATATCATCTTCCTGATTTAGAATCTAAATTAAGATAAGAATACTAAAAACCTAATTTAAGTGCATTTAAATCTTCTCGTCGTGATATCAGCCGAATCGGCTTCAACTCGTGGAAAATCGCACGACTGGTCTGGCGTCACTGCGATTCAGATATAATGGGGTAATCCGTGGCGTTTTTGTTTTTTACGTATCAAATGATTGGCAAAAGGTTCTGTTTTATAAGATACAGAAATGTGAAATGTATCACACGGAGTTAAATGTTTATGTCATCACATTTATAAAAAAAAACCCGTCGTATTTAACATATCGAACCGAGGCTTACGCTGAGCTTGATCACGGCGTAATAAGAAGGAGAAAAAAAAAGGAATTACAAAATAGCTTTTAAATCCTACCTTTCCGTTGACATGTTGTTGATTCTCCTCTTTTTCCAGCTATTGGTAATCAGACCTAACCTCTAAGGTGACACGAGTGAAGTGGATAATTCGTCACCTGATTCTCTGAACTGCATAAATTGCTATCAGCCAAACCCTTTGGCGTCCTTGATTTGACAGTGCATTCACTGTTTTGTTCCCGGGAATGGTTCCTGTTTAACATGAACTCAATTATGTCGTAGCTGTTAATGTACGGTCGGAACGACCCTGGTAGACAAACTCGTTCCTGTAGGCGTTTTGAATGACGGTGTTTTTTTTTTGGCCGTTGTTGTTGCTTTTTCTTTGTGTGATGCTATTGTTTTTGTTGGTTGATAACCTCATAAAGGCCCTAGGGCTTAATGTAGAATCAGAAAGATCGTTGCTTGATCTAAGAAACTTTACAGGGATTGAAAAATAAATAGAGGTAAAATATATGTTCTTAAAAACATCGTTAATTTTTTTTAAAGAATTGAAAAAGGAAATTTGAGGACATTAATATCTGCCGGGCCTACATTACGTTACACTGTCCCAACCATGCATATCTTTGTTGGGCTTCTTAGTATACTTTAAGTCAAACAGCTACAATAGAGTGGAGACTTATAATATACTTCATGTTCAGCGATTCCAAAGGCATACGGGGGGGGGGGTCCGATATTCGGGCAATATTAATCGGACAGCGTGGTGCCGGAATATCGTCATATTCGGGCAGCAATATGACACAATGTTTTATTTATTATAATGTGTTTTGATGACGATATATTTTTTTATGAGATAGTTAAGTGTCTTTGTTTTTCTCACTCCTCAGAATTTCGAAACAGGAAGTGAGACGCCCGAATATATTGCAGGAAAGTGCCAGAATGTATAATTATTATAGCTAATTTATATGATATATTTTGAAGACGAAAATATCACATATTTTGTCATAATAAATGTTTTTTAAAAACTCGTTTGCTTCGCTCGTTCGCAGAATTAACATTAAATCAATCATTATCTTGAGCCATCTGGTTGACGTCATGAAATTTCTCTCTCTCCCTCTATCTCATACCTTCCTCTGTGTTATCATAATTTTTAATGATTATCAGTCCTTTGTAGTGCAATACAACCAGTACAAAAAAAAACTTTTTATATAAAATTCTATCTTTTCCTGATTTTTTTCTTCTTTTTTTTATCAACCTTTATTTCATATTCTTGATGCAATTTTTGTTTAGAGGTTTACCATGTTCATGAATAATTGATAGCAATAAGTGGACATGTATTAAAATCATAAACATTAAAAATTAAACAAATCTATATAGAGAGATTTCGAATTAATTGGACTGATACACTTTTCTCAAAACTGCTAAATAGGGGGTTTACAAAGGGCATGCATTTTGTTTATACATAATTGAAAAGATCGTTATGAACCTGTCGATGAAAATGTTTCTGTGATGAAAAAATGAATACTTAATTCATTCAGGTAAAATAACCACCACTAAATATTAATGAGAAGGTTGATACACGGTAGAGACACGAAAACAATTATGTGAGCTTTCTAATTCTGTTTTGTCGGTAAGGCTTATAAATGTTAAATGCACGGATAAATCCTAGCGTTATATGCTTTTCATTATGCTAATATTTGTTTCCTTTTTAAACTGCGTGATATGAAATCAGCCAGTTATTCTGTGATGAAACGTACAATCAACTTGACCCCCCGGCCCCCGAGCTCTCGGTGAGAGTCTGCTGTTTCAGCACATTAAATGAATTTGTGAAATGTCAGGTGATGATATTGTGCACAATTTACAGCTTATACTTCAATAGAAAAGATTTTGGAGAATATCATAGTAGAAATGTTTCCTTGAAAAAGCGCTCAATTGCTAATTTCTGATATATTGCAACAAATAGTTCAACAGTGTTTACCAGACTTTAGTGTAGTACAGTATTTATATTTGTAGTGCAGTTGATCTTTAGTAATTTCTTTTCGTTTTGATCATTCTGAAACTTCACACTATGCATCATTTTTTCTCACAATAACCTTTCCCAATGGCCTATAGAGAGTTTCTTTCACAATGTATTCCCATGACAAGATCTCATTTTTTGTGCAGAAAAAAATAAATAGAAAAACAAAGCAAATGAAGCAGATAATTATATAACAAAAGAAACCTTTGAAAGACAAGCTTTAGAAAAATGGAACATACTCAAAAATGAATAATAAATTAGAGAGCGGATTTGATGACATAAATTTTGTCAATCGCTTTGTGAGCGCTAAGGATTAATGGATGGGAAAAATGAAAAGAGAGTCGTGTTCAATTGGAAGCTCCGCAGCGGAGATTAATTAAGTGAAAGTGAATGAGAGAGAGAGAGAGAGAGAGAGAGAGAGAGAAAGTGAGAGAGAGACAAAAACAGAGCGAGAGAGAGAGAGATAGAGAGAGAGAGAGAGAGAGAGACAGAAAGACAGAGACAGAGCGAGAGAGAGAGATACAGAGAGAGAGAGACAGAGACACAGAGACAGAGACAGAGAGAGAGAGAGAGAGAGGGATGAGCGAGAGAGATAGTTCACGTTTTGAAAATTACATTAGGGAAATTGAATATTAAATGATACACTTCAGAAAAACTGTCGATCCATATTAAAGATAAACTTGAGTTCTGGTAATGCGATTGCATTGTGAAAGAAAAGGTGTGGAATGGATCAGAAAAGTTGATCATATAGCATGTAAGTAATGGTGTGTAATGCAAGGTTCTGGAGTCATCAAAATCATCATAAATTTGGCAGAGTCTTGGTAAAGTAACAATCACTTACACAGAAAGATGTATACGGGACAACACACATGGTGTCGGGGCTAGTACTACCCTGATTTCCTTATCTTTCTATGCTCATTACTCAGCCAGTATACATTTTCTTCCAAAATTGTTTGGCACATGACATTTATTTGTAATATTGAACATTCAGTTTAAGTTTCGTTAGATTCTGTGAGAATTCATTTTCTTTTTTTTACCAGAACTCAAGTTTATCTTTAAGCATATACAGTGTCACTAACAAAATACAAAGAACGATGCAAAAAATAGCTCTCTGAACGATGATATTTTATCTAATGTTGAAATGGAATTCGTTCATGAAGCTCCTTAAAGGCATCGTTTAACAATGTTAAATCTGAGATGCATGGTCCTATGTGTCATCAGTGTCTGTGGTATGGTGTAACATTGAAGCCCTAAACAAAATCGCGCTTCAAAATGATCATGAAGTGCTTCCAAAATGTAAAAATCTTTGAGTAACCGGTTGTACCATACTCGTTCTCCCAAATAGACTGTATAGTGTTATGAAAACCGTTCGGAAAACGCAAAATTCGATTTCGATTCCCAATCATAAATATCTTGATAATCAGACAAGCGATCGGCTTATAAAAGTCATGGGGTTCCTGACTGACCTAAAGGTTAATAATTATCATTGCAGCGTGAGTTAAATCCAGGAATTTATTTCAGAATCTGAGACAATGTTACCTAATCCCTTTAACAACTTCTCGTAGCTGTTTTCCCGCCATCGCCCCAACCCCTCCATTCTCATGATGAGAGAAACAGTAACGTTTGGATTCACGCCGCTTGTACTGCGTTTACATGCCTCTAAGCTAGAGGCAACTCCTGTCTTCGTTTTCAGTGTCAGTCAGTTTCGGTTTATTGTTTCTTATTTCACATATATTTAACATTTTTGCAAATATTTTACAAAGTTAATGGTACTTTTATTAAACGTGGATTCCATAAAGAGAGACAAAAACAGAAAGTGAGCACCTCAAAGCGATTGGTTCGAATGCATTACATAAAAAACTGAACTAATTATAACAAGCAGAATGCAATATGGAGGGGCCTATGGTGAAAGCTATGCGTGTAAAATACACCGATTGGACGATACATCGCTTTAAAAGCATACTATACCGTTAACGTGTATCTTCCTATAAGGGGACAACTCTTATGTTGTACATGAAGTGGCTTATCCCCATTACTGTTGTTTCAACCCAGTTAAGTCATTCTATTAATTATGCTGCAGTCATTACAATATTCAATTTAAGAATTTTTGATCAGTAAATTAGTCTGATTATACACGTAAAACTTAGCTTGATTTTACTTTAAAGCCCTTTATTTACAGTTAATAAATATATTATTTATAGCCCTTGTAAACAAAAATGTGGGGGTATTTTTTCGTAAATCGAGAATAAAAGATGGACTGGTTGAATTAAGGCCTCTGTTGAATACTTTTTAGATGTAAGCTATGAGTCGGGCTATGATGAGCTATGTGGTCGGAAAAAGGTGGGTGGCTCAAGCCCCACGAAATGTTATAGTCGGGTAATGAATAATTGTAATCGTTTTATTATCCTATCTAGTAAATTTTAATGGTGAAATTTTCACTGTAATAAAGTGTTGATATTTCGCACGCTTGCAAAATTGCAAAATAGAAGAATCAAAATGTTTTTTTTTATTTCGTCAGCCCCCTAGCAGAACTGTTCCTGTACACAATTACACTTATACACCTGCGTTACAGCTAAACAAGGCACTTACAAAATAAATTAAAACACCCATAAAAATGTCCTACACGAATCTCAGGTGGCAGGAATTAATTCCTTGAAATGCTAGAGCGCCATAATGGCCTCCTTGCTAAAGCCAGGGTAATACTCGGGCAGCGCCAGGAGCGTCACGACGTGACGGACATGTGCGCTATATAAGAAGTCATTATCATTATCATTATTACTATTTATATATATATATATATATATATATATATCTCAATATTATATAAAAATATATTTAATGCAAAGGAGGAGAGGCACTTTGCAAAAAAGCATGACGGCTTGTGATTTTTTTCCCCACCCGAATTGATGGGCGTTTGTCTGCTGTTAGTGCCTTAAAGTGTCAATATTGATTACTTTCCTTCAAAGGTTGCTGGTGGGTGATTACCTTTACGGCGTTATAAAGGCCTACACAGGGTGACCCAATTAAAACGGAATAAGTAAAGATGACGTATACTTCCAATAATGCGGGACAAAGTTTATCGGTACCAGTCGATCATTCTAAAAGAAAATGATACCAAATTTGTTGAGTATTTTTAGAGGCGTGTTTTTGTGCAAAAAGTTGAAGACATCCACTGGCAGAGTTCATCGCAGAACATGACGTATCATTGTGTAATTTACGAAATGGTATGTCATGCCTAAGCTTTGGGTCAACTGTAATATACGTAGGATTGAATAAAAAACATTACACTCCA